ACCAAGATGTAATAGGTACTCTTTGTCAAAAATAACTGAAAATTTTCTGTGCTACCCCTTTTCACCTCTAAAACTGAGTTTTTCCAAATATTTCTCCACTAATCACCCGCTAATACTAATCATTCCTCCCATTTCAAAATATCACTATAAGGAAACACGGAAATGGTAACGCAAAAAGTGACGCAAAAGTTGCGTCACTAAAAGGGTGATGCAATAGTGACGATTTGGTGACGCAACATCAGCGTCACCAAATCGTCACTAAATAGTGACGCCTTAGTGACGAAAACGCTATCGTCACCATTTGGTGACGCAGGTATGACGCAAAACTGCGTCGCCAAATGACGCGCGAAAATTTCGTCACCCTTGCGTCACTTATTGGTGACGCAATTTCGTCATTCATGTTAATGACGCAATTTCGTCACTATCAATTTGTTGATGAAATTGCGTCATTATTAGTGATGCAATTGCGTCACAAATTTCTTGATTGGTGGTGCAATTGCGTCACTAATTGTTATTTTTAGTGACGAAATTGCGTCATTTTATTTTTATTATATTACAAACCGACCTCATAGACTCTTGCACCCGAAAAAATATTTCAAAAAATGACTTCGAGTAATAACAATATTTATTACTCAAGAAAATGGATGTACGAAAGAGTAAATCCTTCTACAGGTAATGTATCTACGCATTACGAAGAAGGATTGACTAATTTTTTGGAGTTTGCAACAAATCAACATATTTTCCTTCAGAGATGAAAGATATATTGTCCGTGCCGAAGATGTAAAAACGAGAGAGAAGAAGTTCCAGAAGTTGTCATGAGACATCTATGAAAAAAAGGTTTTATCTCTAACTATTACGTCTGGGTTTATCATGGTGAGATGTTTTAAATTTCTGATGAGAATATATCCGTGAGAAATACTGATGTCTATGATCAACTAAATTCATATATTGAGATGTTTCAAGATGCATTTCCATCTCAATATAATGATCAGGTTACAGAAGATCCGGTGAATGAGGCATCGAAAAAGTTTTTCGATCTATTGGAGGCTGCGAACCAACCTATTTATGATGGTTATAAAGAAGGACTTTCTCAACTATCGGCTTCTGCTAGATTGATGGGGATGAAGACGAGTTATAATCTTACGGAGAACTGCATGGATGAAGTTTGTCAGTTGCTGAATGATTATCTTTCCCAAGGTAATAACGCTCCAGATTCGTATTATGATATGTCTAAACTGATGGGATCGTTGGGAATGGAATCGATAAAAATCGATGTATGTCCTAACAACTGTATGATATTTTGGAAAGAATCTAACCAGTTGGACAACTGTCGATTTTGTGGAGCTGAAAGATATAAGCTGAAAAAATCTGGTCAACACAACCGTGTTCCTTACAAAAGGATGTTTTATCTACCGATTAAAGATCGCCTGCGAAGATTGTATGAATCTCATCAAACAACTTCACATATGCGGTGGCATGCTGAACATACATTAGATCCTGAGAATACGAGTCATCCGTCTGACGGTGATGCATGGAAGAATTTTAATGAGGTATATCCGAACTTTGCATCAGAACATAGAAATGTTTATCTATGTTTATGCACAGATGGGTTTGCACCGTATGGTCAATCGGGAAAACAATATTCGTTGTGGCCTATTGTTATGTCTCCTTATAACTTACCTCCAGATATGTGTCTGAAAAAAGAGTTCTTGTTCTTGACGGTTTAGATTTCGGGCCCGGAGCATCCGAAGAAAAGTTTTGAAATTTTTCTTCAGCCTTTGATCGAAGAATTACTTGAGTTGTGGCATTGTGGAATTGATGCATACGATGCCACACAGAAAGAGAATTTCAAGTTGAAGGTTGTTTTGATGTGGACCATAAGCGATTTTCTGGCTTATGGAATGTTATCGGGATGGAGTACTCATGGAAGATTGGCATGCCCGTATTGCATGGACGATATACAATCATTTCAGCTGAAACATGGAAGGAAATCATGTTGGTTTGACTGTCATCGCAGGTTTCTATCGCAAGATCATCCATGGAGACGGAACAAAATAAATTTCAGGAAGAATAAGGTTGTGACAGATCCACCTCCTCTTCTTTTGACGGGTGAAGAGATATTGTGGGAGCGGATTGAAGGTATTCATGGTTTGGATAAAACCATTGATTGTGGTGGAAATGGTCATCGCAAACCATGTAAATACGGAGAGACACATAACTGGTACAAAAGAAGCATATTCTGGGATTTACCTTATTGGAGGACTCACAAGCTTCGACATAATCTGGATGTTATGCATATTGAGAAGAATTTATTTGATAACGTGATCAACACGATCATGAATGTCAAAGATAAGTCGAAGGATAACCTAAAATCAATTATGGATATCAAAGAAATATGCAACCGAAAAGAGTTAGAGTTGACCAATGATGGAAAAGCCGCAATTCCGATATTTAGACTGTTCAAAAGTGCTAATATCGCACTACTGAAGTGGTTGAAGGAAGATGTTCCATTCTCGGATAGTTATGCATCTAACATCGGGCGATGTGCTAATCTTGATGCTGTGAAGTTAAATGGAACGAAGAGTCATGATTGTCATGTCTTCATGCAACGACTTCTTCCAGTTGCTCATGCTGAACTACTCATGCGCAATGTCTACGAACCTTTATGCGGTACATATATATATATATATATATATATATATATCATAGTTTTTAATTATTTTTAATTATATATATAAATCAAAAAATAATATCAATTGATAATCTTTTTATACATGCATGCAGGTATCAGTACATTTTTCAGAGATATATGTTCAAGAAATCTTAATGTTGATGATGTTCAGCGTATGAAGGATAACATACCGCTAATTTTGTGTGCACTAGAAAAGGTGTTTCCGCCTTCGTTTTTTCGATGTTATGGAGCATTTAGCTATACACCTACCAGATGAAGCAAGACTTGGTGGTCCAGTGCAATTTTCATGGATGTATCCTTTTGGAAGATTGTTTTTCCATCTGAAAAGAAAAGTGAAAAACAAGAACAAATCGGAAGGGGCAATCGTGAAACAGTATGTTAACGAAGAAATTACGTACTTCACAAATTTCTATTTTGAGCCACATATCAAGACAAAAGCCAGAAGTTCTTCTCGGTATGGGGATGAAGATGAGATGATGTTTCAATTTAACCAAGTTGATGGTTGTGATATCCCAACTATATTCAACCAAATAGATACTTTTAAATTTATTTTATTTTCCAAAAACATATGTATGTATATACAAATTTAACCATTTTGCGGTACTAATTAAAAGATATACACAAATGCAGGGAGATTGAGTGAAAAATCGAAAAAACGATGGTTATCCGTCGAAGAATGGCGTCATGCCCACAGATATGTGTTGTTGAATTGTGATGAAATTCGACCAATAGAAAGAGTATTTGCCGAGGAGACAAAGAGATTTAATCCTAATATGAGCGATGAAGCATTTATAGATCTCAAAGAATCATCATTTGCGATATGGTTACAAAATTATGTAAGTACATACTAATACTTTACTAATTTAGGCATCTCATTCCATACTTATACTTAATGACTAATTGTAAATCTAAATTAATAAACTTTTTTTTTAATGTAGATATCTCATTCTTCGCAGAATTTTCCTATTTGGATACAAGATTTGATTCGGGGTCCATCAAAAATGGCGAAATGTTGGCCAATTATGTTCACAAGAGGATACACTTTCCATACTTATACTCATGATTTAGATCGAAAGACTTCCAACTATGGGATATGTGTTAAAGGAGCAAATTGTTGTGATGTGGTTGATGAGCCAGACTTTTATGGTATCCTCCAAGACATCATGGTGTTAGAATACCACGGCTATATTGGTTTGAAGATGGTTATATTTAAATGTGATTAGTTTGATCCGACCATTGGAAGGGGTATGAGAATAAATGGATCGGGCGGTTTTGATGTCAACTTATCCAAGAAGTATTCCAAATACGATCCGTTTATCCTATCTTCTCAAGCGGATCAAGTATGTTACATAAGTTATCCAACGTCCAAACGACGTCGAGATCATTGGAGAGCTGTCATTAAAATTCAACTATGAGGTGTTGTTCGTGAAGAACAAGAAGGTTCAACCCATATCCCATTTCATGAAAGACGCATTGATGACGATATTGGTCAACAATTCCGTATTACGTATTCACATAACGAGCAACTTGTTGTATCAGACGAAGAGGATGTTGAATACGACAATTTAGTCGAGGATGAATTCAATGACGACATTGAAGATGAAGAAGAAGTTGAAGTAACTTCCGATGAAGATAGTGATTAAAATTTTATATTATTACGAAATATATATTTTTTTAAAAAAAAATATAACACATAGTGACGCCACTGGTGACGAATTGGCGTCACCAACAGCACCACATTAGTGACGCAATTGCGTCACTATATCAAATTAGTGACGCAATATCGTCACCCAGGTAAATTCGTATCACGAAACGTCACCTCTACCGTTACTGACTGTACACGTGGCCACATATGGTGATGCAACTGCGTCACCATTTGAATAAAGTGACGCAATTGCGTCACCAACAGCGTCCTTTTTAGTGAGAAATTGCGTCACCTATACCTAATGGTGACGCAATTTCGTCACCCTGGTGGTTTTACCGAGGTCCGTAATTACTGCTAGGGGTGACGAAATTATGTCACTATATTGATAGGGTGACACAATTGCGTCACCTTCACCGTCTTTTTTTTGTGACGAAATTACGTCACCCAAGTCAGTATATATATTGAGTAATGCAATTGTGTCAATCCTGCACAGCAGGCATCCTCCTCTCCTCTCATCTTCGGTGAAAGGTAATTTTTTTTTAAAAATTTTAAATTTGATTTTAAAATTATAATTTATAATTTATAAATTTAAAATATATTAATATTTTAAATAAATTGTATATAAGTCGTTCTTTCGGAAGGGATTCACATTTATCGGGAGAAAGATCTCAACATCAAAGATCTCCCTTGATTGATATGGCCGAATCTCAACCATAACCACCAACCCAGGTTACAATTGATAACGTGGCTGAGGTATTAGATAACCCTGCAAAAAATTTATTACCGAAACTGGATCCGCTAAAAAATCCAGTGACAAAATGGTAATTTAAATTTTAATATGTTTATTTAAAATATTTCTGTCAATATAAAATTATAATTAAATTTTTTTTTATATTTTTCAGGTTTGGTGTTGATGTTGAGATAACGACCAATTTATCAAAATTCATCAAACAAAATTTCAAAGATGGTTATCTTAATTGGAGTACGATCTCACAATCTACCAAAGATTCGTGGTGGTTAAGTTTTGTGGTAAATTTTTTATATTTATAAATAATTATAAAATTAAAATTTATTTTATTATGTAATTTATATGTTATAAAAAAATTTATATAGCAATGGCGGTGGGATCCTAAACATGATGCACTTGTTCGACGCAGGTGGAAGGAGGCTGTAATTAGATTAGTGAAAGCCAGTGTTCATAAAGTCAAACAAAAATGGCTTTCTGAACCCTATATGGATCCTCCGTATTGGGCGAAAAAAAATCATTTGGATCGAATGGTGGAGCATTGGACTTCCCTAGCCACCAAAGAGAAAAGTCAGCGAGCGTCCCAGAGTTGAAAATCTGAAATGATTCCTAATGCCGGAGGGCATGTCCATACATCGAGAGCTAAGCCTTTTAGTCATGTTATGCATGAAATGACTAAAAAAAATCAAGCGCCAACGTTGTTAGATTTGTTTAAAGCAACACATACACGAAAAGATGGTGTGATGGTTGATGGAAAATCGCAACAAATCGCGGAACAAGTTCAACATGAGGTAAATTGTCTAATATAAATTTTTTTAATTAATATTTAATGTTTAATTTTAATTGTTTCATTGAAATTTTAGATTATTGCATCTCAACCAACACAAGGCGAAACTTCTGCATCGGAACCTAACATACCGAAAGAAAAAATTGACGAGATATATCTTCTTTTTAAATATATAAACTTATAATAATTTTAATTTAAATTTAAAATAAATTATTAATTAATTATATTTTTATTATATAGGTTGTTCCACCGAACAAATTTAGACGAATATAAAGTCTCGGTTCAATGCAAACCGATATCACCTATCATCCTGGTGAAGATGCTCCTTCAACTGCTCAGGAAATACTTTCACTCGCATGATGAGTGCGACAATTAGAAGAGCAGCAAGCTGAACTCCTCCGACAACAAACGGAATTCTTGCGCGGACAAGAACAAGATCGGAAATTGCGAGTGCAAGCATAATTTTTCAATGAGTTCCAAACCCGAGGATTTCCAAGTTTCGGAAGCGGAGGACAAGGAAGTGGTGGCGGTGGCGACGATGACGGCGACGGCGACGAAGACAACTACGACGGAGGAAATCAAAATTAAATATTTTATATTTTTATCGTTTTGTAAATTAATTAGTAAAAAATTTAATTATATATTTAAATATAATATTTTGTTTTTATTTTTTATTTTTTTATCTTTTACAGGGTGACGCAAAATAGTGATGCCACTGTGTCACCAAAAGCGTCACAAGATAGTGTCGCAAATAGTAACGCATATGCGTACCAATTATTGACAAATAGCTCAATAACAAATAAATAAATACTAAGAGCAGAGAAAAACAAAACCAAAAGAAACTCCACCTTGAAGTATGTCTTTATACTCATTCTTTGTGAAGTTTTCTTGAGATTCACCTTATTTCTACCTTTTCTCCCTTTCTTTTTCCTAACTCGCGACCTCTTTTCTACTTTCTATTATTCTCCCTTTGATTTTCCAAGTGAATGACTAGTCTTATAAAAAAATAATTTACATATTGAGTCTTGATGGACAATTACATGACATGTGTCCATTAGGTGACATAATGGAAGATGCTAGAGACTTTTGACTATAACTCTTGATAAGAATGACTTAATCACAATAATTTTCGTGCTCCCTACATGTTCTAAGGTTTTGGGCATTAATTGGGTCCTAACCATTTAGCAAAATTGTTCATAAGGCCTTAATTAAGCCCATTCCCAAATCACTATATCTGCTATATGACAATCACTTATATTTTTCTGTCAATACATGCTGATTTAGACCATACCTTAAACTACAAAGTTGTAGATAATTCTTTTATCTACAACTTTTCTTTTGGAATCAATTTCACTAGGATCAAGTGTATACTTGCTTTCATCTTACCAACAGCTCTACTGATTGATAAGAATCACTCGTGGGCCTACCACAGGAAGCTTTTCCTTTACATTCCCCTTCATATCTTGTGAGATTTCATTTCATAAGAATTCAATGAGTTAAAAATCTTTAAAATCCATTCAATGTACGACACTCACTAAAGTTAAGAGTAAGACGTCACAAAAATTGGGTTATCACACATAAACATATATATGTAAGTATTTTATTTTTATTTTTAAAATTGATGACGTGGTGATAATTTAATTAATACCACATCAGCAATCAGATGTACTATGTCAATGGTGTTTTTTTGTCAAACAAATCAAATATTTTATACTAAAGAAAAACAACAAGTTTTCAATTTTGTAAAAGTTTTTGTCACAACTCAAAGGTTTTTTAGATGATTACAAGTTGAATATTTTATATGAAATTCAAGATTAATCGTTAAAAACATAAAAAAAAAAACAACAACCAAAATTTATGAATATTTCTATTATTAAAATTGAATTCAACCCAATTTCGGTATAAAAATCGAATGTAATCATTTAAATATCTAAAGAGATTATCGTATTAAAATACCCGAACTTTTACAAAAATCCCACATAAATACCCGAACTATAAAATTGTCATATAAATACCTAAACTTTTCATAACTCACACATAAATACCTAGACTTTTAAATTTTTTCCAAATCAAACACTTATCCGTTAACGTCGTTAAACGTAACTGCTGACTCAGTAAAAAACTGCTGACTCAACAAAAAACTTCTGACTCAACAAAAAAAAAATATTATTAAATATCCAAATTTTTATCTACATATATTTAAATTAATATATACATATAAATTCACACATATATATACAAATATATATATATATATATTAAAAATAAAATTATTTATAATTAATAAAACACATATACACATAACCACAATATATATAGGGATAATCGCATAAAAATACCTGAATTTTTACAAAAATCCCACATAAATATTCGAACTATAAAATTGTCATATAAATACCTGAACTTTTCATAACTCCCACATAAATACCCAAACTTTTAAATTTTTTCCAAATCAAACACTCATCCGTTAATGTCGTTAAAAGCAACTGCTGACTCAGCAAAAAAACTGCTGACTCGGTAAAAAAATCTGGTTGACTCAGCAAAAAACTGCTGACTCAGCAAAAAAAATATTATTAAATATCCAAATTTTTATCTACATATATTTAAATTAATATATGCATATAAATTCACATATATATACAAATATATATATATATATTAAAAATAATTTTATTTTAATATATATGTAACTAATTATAATTAGGGGTTTGTATTTAATTATAATTATATATTAATTGTATATGTATATTTTTTATATATAACTAATATATATACATATAAATATTATTTTAATTTTTAATATATATATATATATATATTTGTGTATATATATGTGAATTTATATGTATATATTAATTTAAATATATGTAGATAAAAATTTGGATATTTAATAAAAAAAATTTTGCTGAGTCAATAGTTTTTTGTTGAGTCAGCAAGATTTTTTGCTGAGTCAGCAGTTACGTTTAACGACGTTAACGGATAAGTGTTTGATTTGGAAAAAAATTAAAAGTCTGGGTATTTATGTGGAAGTTATGAAAAGTTCAGATATTTATATGATAATTTTATAGTTCGGGTATTTATGTGAGATTTTTGTAAAAATTCGGGTATTTTAATGCAATTAGGTATTTATGTGGGAGTTATGAAAAGTTCATGTATTTATATGACAATTTTTATAGTTCGGGTATTTATGTGAGATTTTTGTAAAAGTTCGGTATTTTAATGCGATTATCCCATATCTAAAACAAAATATCCAATAAGTATACATCAGCTATATATATAGATCTTAAACTAAAGTGTCCATACAGATTGACTGTCACAAAGAACGTTAAACTATTTATATTGTTATTTTTATTTTCAGCAAAGTATCATCCGTGGTAGAAAATTATTAAAATCAAATAAACAACTTTGGATATATTCGTTAGATACGATTAAATTAACATTATAGGATGTTTGCATTTGAATAGTAGATATATCTTATTTCTTCATTCACGTGGATTAGTGGATAACAATATTTTTCTTGATTCTCGGTTATTAAAGATGATCGGACAACATATTGATGATGCAATTTTTATGTTTTTGTGCACAAGAGATTATTGTTATAATCCAATTATTGAAAAATAATTCCAACAATGCGAGATTATCGTTCCGATCTTATGTTGTTGGTATAGAAGTTTAAAGTCTAATTGTTTTTATTTTATAATATATAAATTTAACGAGATCTTAGTCTAATTTAGACGAAAATCTCTATCCAAATAGACTCGAATCTAAGTTGCAAAGTAGTTTTACCCATCCTTAACCGTTGAGTAATCTTGGGTGTTAAATTCTAATTATTATTTTGTGTAAAACTAAAATTTTGGTTATAAATATTAAATTAGATAGTATTTCATTAAATTTTTCTTTTGATATTTCTATTTTTAACGTTTTAGCATTTCACTTTTTTATTAATTTATCAAAATAAGTAACAGATATTTGAGTACAAATACAAGTAATCGGTATTCAGTCCTGAACTTGAATCATTTCCAAACCGGAAATATATATTTTTCAAAATTTTCATAGAAAAAGTGGGATTAAATATTCCAATATTATCGTAATTTTCTTCTATTATCACTTAAAATATTGACTTGGAAAATTGGAATCAGTATCAAGCCTCACTACGAGGGAGAATAACTAAAATACCCTTTGACTATTGTAAGTACTTCTCATGCTACCTACCTTCAAAACAAAAAATTAAACAAAAAACACTCTTCAACATGGTAAAAGATACAAACACCCTCAAATATTTATGAAAAGACAAAAAACTTTTGTGTTAAATTTAAAAAAAAACTGAAGTAAAAAAAAAAAAAAGAAACGGTGAAATAATAACGTCTCTGTAATATCCCGATTCCCGAATGAATCATTTAAATTATTTTCGCGAATAAAGGAAAGGTAAAACAAGCCTAAAAACATAGAGAATCAATGTGAGTTGTCTCTATGTACTCTTGTTTTTATCGTGTGACCATAATATCTCAATGGTTTGTTGCTTGAATCTGAAAGAGGATTTTTCAATGAAGATCTAGAAAAAAACGACACTCGATTTCGTTGAGAAATGAGGGAGATATGAACGAACAAAAATTTAAGAGAAACTGAAATTGTAGAAATCAAGAATTTGTACGAGGTACAGGAGTTGCGAACCCTTTTTCATCATGAAAACGTGGGGTTTTCAATAATCTATTACTTGGAAATGAAAAAAAGGACATTCCCACGAAGGTTTAGAAATAAACAGTGCGCGATTTGGTTAAGAAACGAGTGAGAACGGGATAATCGAAAACGGACTATGCAACTCAGTCCGAACAAACCAGGAAGTCAGTCCGAAGGAGCTATGTAAGTCAGTCCGAAGGGACCAGAAAAGCAGTTCGAAGGGACCAGAGAAGCAGTCTGAACGGACTACGCAAGACAGACTGTCGGCAACTACTTTAGTGCGCGACTTTCTCGCACATGGGTGACCCACAACCCACTCAAACGCCACCAACCCGAAAAAGTGTGATCCTAGCCAGTGGCGGGTCCAAAAAAAATTTATACCGGGGGCACATTATTATATATATATATATAATATAAAAACTAATAAAAATATATTGTCATAAAAATATTTATATTTTATAACTGATTTCTACAATTCTTCATTTTTTGAAATCTATCAATAACAACTTCATTTGTAACTGTATGAAATATATCCTTTTCGATGAAACAAACCAATCACCGTATTGGTCAAACCAGACTGGATTAAATCGTCTCAATTTATTCCATATCATCTTCTTTGGAAAGTTATGACCACGTGGTTGACAAGGTCCCCTAATCAAATATTTGCGTCGTATCTCATCTCTTTGATTAGGATGATACTCTAATATTTTTTTTTCTATCAGTCGGATCCAAAGGCAAATCATGTAAATCAATTTGCTCAGGTATTGAGGGTCTAACCTGAGAATTTGTTATATCGCCGATTGGAGCTTTACCCCTATCTTAAGATATCGATGCAAAATTTCTCTTGAGAAATTTATCCATTGATTTCTATGTCAAATCAAAAATATGATT